AGCAGAAAAAGCTGGAAGTGGCGCTGTGGCTCAAGTGGTAGAGCATTAGCCTTAAGCTGAAGAGCTGAGGGACAATGTCCAGGCCCAGAGGTCAGGCCCCACAACCAGCAAAAAGAAAAAAGAATTTTAAAGACATTCTAAACAGTGAGTCAGTTTCCCCCAGGGCAGGTGGAGTTTCTGACACCTCGCAAGCCAGTTCTTCCCACTGCGCTGCCTCTGCTGCCCTCTTGTGGAGAAACATGGTGCTGACAGGCAAAACCCAGGAGGCAGAAGCACAGGTTAGAAATCGCAATTCATACTGGCTTTCTTTCTCTCTCCCTCTCTCTCCCTTCCTCTCCCTCTCGTTCTTAATGTACAGAGGGGTTAAAGTTACATAAATCAGTTAATGAGGACAGTTCTTTTTAAACAGTGTCGCCTCCTCCCTCATTTTCTCCCAGCTTTTTTTTTTCCTTCCTTCCCACCAAGTTGTATAATTCATTTCCAACACAGTGCCTAGTGACTACCACTGCTGAATTACTGGCTTCCCTTTCAGACAATCAATCCTGCCTATTGGTCTCTTTGCCGCTTCCCCTGACTTCACCTTCTCTGTGGTTTGTAACTACAGCAGAACAATTTGTGCTTTCCTGTCCAATCGACATGGTGGAGGGAATTCTGAAACAATACAAGGAGACCTTTGTGCTTTGTAATTCTCTTAACACCCTACTTCTAGACTCTTGTACAAAGTAGTCACTGCCCTGTGCCTTAAGGAAAGATTTTGACCAAGCATCCTGGGAAAATTAGGTATAGTTTTCTCTTTCTCTAATTTTTTTTTCTTTTGTGCCAGGACTGGGGCTTGAACTGAGGGCCTGGGCACTATCGCTTAGCTTTTTTCACTCAAAGCCGGCTCTGTATTACTTAAGCCACAGCTCTACTTCCCACTTTTCTTGGAGGTTAATTGGAAATCAGAGCCTCACAGCCTTTCCCACCTAGACTGGCTTCAAACTGGGATCCTCAGATCTCAGTCTCCTGAGATTAGAGGTGTGAAGCGCAGGTACTTGTCCCATTGGTATTTATCCCTCTGGGCCATAGTTTGTTACTACAGAAGATCTATATGTGTTCTCCTGTCTAATCAACATGGCTGACAGAATTCTAAAAAACAACACACGTGGCCTTTTGTGCTTTAACATGCCTTAAAATCTGACTTCTGGACTCTTGTAAAAGCTCATCATCCTCCTATTCCTTAAGGATAAATTCCCACAAACCATCCTGGAAAAATCTATATTTAAAAGAAATATACATCTCAATAAATTAAGTTTATTTGCTGATCCTGGGGCTTGAACTCAGGCCTGGGCGCTCTCCCTGAGACTCTCTGTGCTTAAGGCTAGCGCTCTACCACTTGAGCCATAGCACCACTTCTGGATTTTTCTGTTTATGTGGTGTGAGGAATTGAACCCAGGGCTTCATGCATGCTGAGCAAGCACTGTACCATTCAGCCACCTTCCCAGCCCCAATTAATTCAATTTTTAATCCACACTCAACAGCCCTCATTTCTCAAAATGGTGCTAGGCTCCCGCCAGCTTCCCTTCTGCCACTGTCTTCATTAGCTTGGTGGAGACGGAGCTGAAAACGCCCTGGCCATCCAGGACCTCTATTCATCTAAGCCATAAGAAGGCCCAACAAACTCCTCACGGGGGTTTCCTGGGGGCTCAGGTCCAATCGCTGGTCAACCCAGGCTCACGGCCCCAGGGACAGTCAGCAGCCTTTCTTCTATTACCCTCTTCTACACCCTCCTTTAGCCAGGCTGCCGGAGATCCACCCACAGTGGAGTGCGAGTCTGACTGAGGTTTCCCAGCTCCCCAGCTGCCAATCCCCACTGTGCAGATCCTCATCATCCTCGGAGCACTGCCCTGAGAAGAAACTGCCACGTGTGACTGCGGAGACCAACGCAAGTCTTCTGATGGCCACGACAAACCCTTGTACCACAGAAAGAGAGTGGTGGGAAGGGAGGAGAGCAGGAAGGATCGGGAGCAGCATGCTCCAAATCTTCCAGGGTCCTCAATATACAAAGAGCACTCACAAAATAACAAGCACACCCGATAAAGCCCACAGGAGAAAAAATGGGTAGAGGATACGATGGTTTAAAAAGATGCCACTGATCAAGAGGGGTTGCCCGTATAAATTGCTTGCTTTTGTGAAATAACAAAAGGAGAATTCAATACAATACATATCCTAACAACTTTTAAGAAGAGCGAGGGAAGGGGTGGGTGGGGAGGGGTGGGTGAGGTTGTTGAACGGAGTAACGCTGATCAAGACTCACTGCGTTCATGAACTGCTTTGTCAAATGGCAATTCCTTTCTTACGACGACTCCAGGAGAATAACAATATTCAAAAAGCCATACGAATAGCTCATTGATATATCAAGCAAGCCCTTAGTCAAAAAGAGATGACATCACCACAATACGATGATGTTTCCCTTACATTACTGGCAAAAAATTTAAGGTGTGATAATCATACTAAGAGTAGCAGCTGGCATGAAAATAGGTATTATCATCCTCATTGCCATAAGCAGAATGCACACAACATCTGCAGGAAACCTCAGCACGCTTGAAATGGACATCGCACCCGGACGCTGATGGCTCACGCCTGTAATCCTAGCTACTCAGGAGGCTGAGATCTGAGGATCCAGATTCAAAGCCAGCCCAGGCAGAAATACCCATGAGACTCTTATCTCCAATGAACCACCAGAAAACTGGAAGTGGAGCTCAACGTGGTAGAGCACTAGCTTTGAGCAAAAATGCTCAGGGACAGCACCCAGGCTCAGAGTTCAAGCCCCATGACCCACAAAGTACCTCGTACTGTCTGAGGCTACGGAAGCTCAGCAAAGCACAAGTTCTAGCATGTTCTAGGCCACACCAGAAAGTCCATGCGACTCTAGAAATTCTAGTGTACAACCCTCATTTCTCTAGCAGGACAGAGCAGGGCTTTGCCCAGACCCTTCACCATCCCTGCTGGAGGTCACACTTGAGCTGATAAAGAAGCTACCATTTGCCTTTCTCCAGTCTCCAACTCCAGTGGTAATGTAGATTCAGCCAGTGTTCTGATTTGCCCAAATCCAGTGGGGTGTGGTGCAAAGCGAGGCTTGGCACACAGATGAAAATGCAAAGTTGGGTCATGTCCTCGGTTCTTCTCCTCATCTTCACCCCTTGCAGCCTGGTGCATGGAAACCTGGAAATCCACGGTCGATAACAGAGCCCATCGGCCACGTTCTGCCTGTGGCCTCACGCAGAGGACCTCCTGCACTGGGAGCCACTGATGTGGAGGCCACAGATGAAACTAATGACCTCACACATGGTCTTCCCTGAACAAAGCCATCAAAAGGCCCAGGACACCACGCCACGCCAGCAGCAGCCAGACCTCCACAGCAGCCAAACGCCATCGATTTTATGCTGATTCCCTGAAACTTCAATCATTATTTTTCTCATCTTCTTCGAACTGTTTCTTGAGGAGGGAAAATGGAGTTGTGAGAGGTTTAAGAAATTATCTTGAGCTGACAATTACAGCCAGGCCTAACGTATCGGAGTAAGGACAGCTCGGAGCTCTCACAAAAAGCTTTGCAAATGCAGACCTCTACTTCTGCCACGTACCCAATTTAAGGTTCACATGTAACTTGGGTTTTTTTTGCCAGTTCTGGGACTTGAACTCAGGGCCTGGGTGCTGTCTCTGAGCTTTTTTTTTCTCTCTCTCTCAAGGCTAGTACTCCACCACTTGAGTGGCAGACAGCTCCATCATAAGGCCGGTACTGGTGGTTCATACTTGTCATCCTGAGATCTGAGAATGATGTTTCAAAGCCAGCCAGGGAAAGAAAGATCATGAGACTCGTATCTCCAATTAACCACCAGAAAACCAGAAGTGGCGCTGTGGCTCAAGGTGGCAGAGGACTAGCCTTAAGCAAAAGAGCTCATGGAAAGTACCAAGGCCTTGAGTTCAAGCCTCACCATTGACAAAAAAAAAATCTCATAGACTTTCCTACCCAGGCTGGCTTCAAATTATGATCCTCAGATCTCAGGCTCCTTGAGTTGCTAGGATTTCATGAACCACCAATGCCCAGCTTAGATGACAGCTTTAATTTGTCCTTTAAAATTAAGCAATCCAGACTTCATGGGTGGCTCAAATGGCACAGTACCTGCTTAGCAAGCACATAGCTAGGCAAAAAAAAAAAAAAAAGTAAATAAAAGGACAAGTAAAATAAGCAATCTAGCCTAGTCAGTAAGGGAAGCACATCTTTACTCCCAGTTACTAGGGACACTGAGGCAGGAAAATTGTTTGACCCTGGGAGTTTGGGACCAGCATGCACAACACAGAGCCCAGCAAAACACTACCTTTAAAAAAAAAAAAATGAAGAAAGAAAAGAAAGAAATTCACCGGCAAGTTCCCTGGAAATTAAATGATCAGAATGACTGCAAAACTTCAAATACAATCTATTGTAAGTCTTTGTGCAAAAGTTACCACTGGCCTTTTCTTTCTTTTATTAAGCGTATTAATTACTCAACATCTTTCTCCACATCTCAAATGAGTCTTAAATTATCTGAATACTTCTTTTCAGTACAGCCCTGTGTTAAATGAGTCTCGCCCATGTTTCTCTCCCTAAGCAAGGGGAGGGAGCATGTGGGAGCTCGTGCAATGCACACACACACACACACACACACACACACACACACGTGCATGCACATGCACGCCTACACACAGCGCCAATGGTTTTCTGGTTGTTTTCTTTTTTCCTTTGGAAAAAGCAGCCATAAAAAAAAGTAATACTGAGAAAGATCTTGAAAAGACACCTAGAAGCATACTGCTCCAGCATCTAGCCAATACCCCCAGCTTTACTTCCAGCATCTTCTGCCTACTTGCTCACCATGCTAAGCTTGTGTGGATTACCTGCTGGAAACAGGCACGCTGAGTTCTAATGGGGTTTTATGCATTGAGCTCGGGGGGCGCACAAGAAGCTTAAAGGCCTGAGGGCTCACCTGTGTGTCCCCGGAGGTGGTAGCTGGAGGCAGACATCAGCTTACAGCACACCATTAGCACATAGGCCAGAAAGAGCCAATGGAACAGCAACACCGACTTCGTGTAGACTCTCATCCTAAGGAGAGACAGGGCTGAGTCAGGGCAAAGCCAGAATGCCAGGCTCCTGGAAAATGCAGCCTGGGAAGTAGGGAAAAGAAGTCAACAGCCGGGGCTGGGAAGGTGGCTCAGTGGTAGAGTGCTTGCTTTGCATGCCTGAGGCCCTGAGTTCCATTCCTCAGCACCACATAAGCAAAAAGAAAAAAGCCGGAAGTGGCGCTATGGCTCAAGTGGTAGAGCGCTAGCCTTGAGCTGAAGAGCTGAGGGACAGCGCCCAGGCCCAGAGTTCAGGCCCACGACTGGACCAAAAAAAAAAAAAAAAGAAGTCAACAGCCTCCATACCCCACTGGCTTCGCCCCAAGGTAGCCGGAAGCCAAGCAGACTTTTCTCTGTGCTGAGCAGTAACTCAGCTCTCCACAACTACCTTATATACAGAGTGTTCCATCTTAGGTACTCAGGAGGTTGTGATCTGAGGCCTGGGGTTGGAAGCCAGCCCAGGCAGACTCTGATCTCCAATAAACAAACAAACAAACAAAAAAAAGCCAGAAGTAGAATTTTGGTTCAAGTCATAGAGTGCCAGCCATGAGCAAAAAAAAAAAAAGTGGGAGCTCACTCAAGACCTTGAGTTCAAGCCCTGGCTCCAGTAAATAAGTAAGTAAGACAATAAAGGAGTTTTCCAAGTTAGCACCACGCCTTGGTGAAAAGTCTACTTGTGATTCACCAAGGCTCCAGTTCAGCTGTTCTAACAGAACATGGTGGTTAGATTCCATATTTTTAAAAATACACACTGCGAGTTACGGTCAAGTAAAAGTTGACATGGTTTTAGTATGTGAAAGGATCCATGGAGATGTTGGAGTCATGGTCCAGGAGCTTCTTGGGTTCTTTGATTGTCAATTAACACCCTCTGGTTTAAGGAGGACGGGCCTCGTAGTCTACTCAACCAACTTCCAAGTTTAGGGAAGACAACAGATTGAAGAGGAGGGGAGGAGAAAGGAAGAGGAAGGGAGGGGGTGGGAGGGGAATAGGAGGAGGGGAGGGGAGGAAGAAGGAAGGGAAGGGGGAGAGAGTCAACTCTTGGACACTCGGGGTCTGCAAACAATCATTTCACCTTGGAGACTTCATCAGAGATGGTCCCAGTCCAGCACAGTTAGTCCAGCACGTATTTTGGCGCCATTCCAAATTTCCATTTGTAGCAAGGACCCATTATTTTGGCAGCTCCAAAAAATAAACCAATATGATCTTAGCTTGGAAGACCTATTTTGAAGAAGACACAACAAAATGAAGAAAAGAAAAACAAGAATCAGTTTGCATTTTAGCATTTAAACGAAACTGAGTTCCAGCAGGAAAATAATGGGTTCACCAGGATGCTTATTGTTTCTAACAAGTGGGAGACAGTCCAATGCTTTCTATGAAAAGTGTTCCATCGTGAGGAAATTCTGGATACTTCTCTCATCCCCTGCTTCGTGCAACAGAGTTTCAGTGCAGAAGTGTTCACAGCAGCAAAGGTATGACAGAGAGCCCCAAACCATACAACATTCACCAGGACGTCTTTCTCCCTGCTTCATTGACCATTGGATGAAGTCGAAATTCAGCACCATCTGTTCCCAAGAGATGATGTAACTTATCCAATCTCACGGAGCAGTGGAGAACCACCCTGAAGACCCTAATTCTGAGATCCAGGTATAGAAACCTAAGCATGAGCAGGGCACTAGTGGCTCACACCTGTAATCCCAGCTACTCAGGAGGCTGAGAACTGAGGGTCGCGATTCAAAGCCAGGCTGGGCAGAAAAGTCCAGTGAGACTCATCTCCAATTAACTACCAGGAATCCAATAATGGAACGGTGGCTCAAAGTGGTAGAGCACTAGTCTTGAGCACAAAAGCTTAAGCTGGGCAGTGCCCAGGCCCTGAGTTCAAGCCTCACAATCAACAACAAAAAAAAAAACTAAGAATGATGCCGGACAGTCTCCATTTTTTATCTTTTTGATGTTAATGGAAGACAGAAAACTTCTTTCCAATGCAATTCATTGTGTCAAAAGGTAAAGAATACTCGGGACTACTTAACACTAAACACTCAATACACCAACCTAAAAAAAACTACTTATTAATACTATTGTTATATTTAAGTAATTATACAAAGGGGTTGCCATTTAACAAAGCAGTTTATGAATGCAATATATCTTGATCCATGTTACCCTTTTGAAGAGTTGAGAGTGTGGAAGGCCCTCACTCTTAATTTTGTAGGATAGGCATTAGATGCTTATCTTGGTTCCAAACTGAAGACATCTGAAGAACAAAATGGCACATCACTTTCCCTTCTTGCTAAATCAAATGCATCCCCTCCTGTGACAGAGATAAGCAGAAAACCATTGCGCGCAGTGACAACCATTAAAGTTGTGCATACCAAAAATGGATGGCAAGATGCAATCTCGTTGCTTTGGAATCTGGTGAACTAGCTGTAGGGTCACCACCAACCACAACTAAGATTTTGTTTCTCCATTTTTTTCCTCTTTTCTAAATACCGAAAGCTAATGCTCCAATTCAGTGGGAGAATATTTCAGGTGATCAACGTCAAGTACAACCCCTGTGGGGCTTTAAGAAGGAAACTATACCTGGAGAGATTCATTCAACAAGAAAACAAGGGGGACTTTTAATAACTGTATAAATATGAATTGCACAGAAAAAAATGTTATCTCCCCAATCCTCCAATTCTATTAAGTCTCTTAGTCCTCATTTCACCCAAGGGCATCACGTGAACTTCTGCTATCAGAAAGAAGTACAGTTTGTGAGAACCATCATAATGTATTGGAAACCAACATGACCTTTCCTGGCTAATATTTATCTTGTTTTCCTCACACAAAAGAAACCACTGGACATTCTTTTATGTTGTTTTTTCATTTAAAAATGACCTATCTGTGAAAAAGGCATGTAGTCTCATAGTCTGCATACCAGAGAGGAGCCACAGGTTTAATTTTTGGGTGGAAAGTAATTCACTCAACCTTTCCCCATCCAGTGGGTTAGGCACTTGCCTGAAAGGATTAACTCTCTCATGTCACTTCTATACTTGAGTGTGTGCAAGTCCGCCCATCCATTTGTGTAATGTAACATAGTCCTGGGCTGGGAAGGTGGCTCAGTGGTAGAGTGCTTGCCTTGCATGCATGAGGCCCTGGGTTTGATTCCTCAGCACCACATAAGTAGAAAAAGCCAGAAGTGGTGCTGTAGCTCAAGTGGTAGACCACTCGCCTTGAGCTAAAGAGCTGAGGGACGGTGCCCAGGCCCAGAGTTCAGGGCCCACGACTGACCAAAAGATAAAAATAAAAATAATACAGCCCTGAGTCTGTTTTAAAAGTCACTGATTTTTTTTAAGGGTGTTCCTAACTCTCCATGATGAAAGACGCTGCGCATATGTAGGCTTACAAAAACAAAACCTTGTTCAGAATGCATCTGCTTATTGAACTCAAATGACACAGACAGCATTTGGACGCTGAGCTCCATTTTCATCTTCTACCTGAAACGTTGACATGATGACATTATGTGGGCTTGGTTTCTCCTTTACCACAGAAGAGCAGAATATCTATTTATGTTTCCTGGGCGCTGGAAAAACTTTGAGGTTCCCAGGCAGAAGACATCATTCTTCAGATGTTTAATTTATTTCTGTGTCACACAGAAAAATTCTGTCTTCCCTTGAGATCTTTTCAAGGAAATGAAAAGCCTGTGCCTTTCCTTCTCTTGATCTACTTGCCTCCTCAATTAGGGAGGGGGAAGGGTGAAATCCTAAGAGAACTGTTCTTTCAACGTAGAGTCATTGGTTTGTGGATAAGCACACCGTGGGAGCATCTCTTGTAGAATTCCCACCACGCCCCTCGCTGCACACATGTCAATCTATGCAGTAGCTTCCACACAGGCTCTGAGAGTCTACCCATATTGGTTCCTTTTAAAGTCAGAAGACAAACTAACTCTATACCTGCGACTGATCCTGAGAGGAAAAAAAAAAATAGACAAGCCGAAATGTCAGAAGCTTTTGAAGGTCATTTACAATATATTTGCTATGCATTCTTACTATCAAGGTCACAAAAGGACACATGCACACAAAAAATATGTCAACCCAATACAATTGTGATCTGAAATTGGATCTCACATGAGGAAAAACAAATGTGTGCACACAGTCATTCCCAGAATGCACTGCGCATACCCCACATACCCAGAGCCACAAAGAATATTCCTCCAGCACTTAACAATAGCTGGATACAACCTGTAGATCAAACTTCAAAACTCTATCAACATTAACTCCCCTAAGTTCCATCACCATAGTGTAGGTAAGAAAGAAAATTACCTTGTTATTAAAAATATCCTGAAATGCTTAAGAGAAAGGGGTAAATGTTTCTAACTTAGTTTCAAATGATTCCAAGGAAAATAAAGAGAGAATGAAAAGGTAAAGGAAAGAAAGCATGAGTGAGCAAAGGAGGTCATGACAGAAGAAGCACAGAATGGATGAATGGGTAGATGGATGGATGGATGGATGGATGGATGGATGGATGGATGGAAGGATGGATAGATGGATGGATGGGTGGGTGGGTGGGTGGGTGGGTGGATGGATGGATGAATGAATTGATGGGTGGTTCAATGGATGTATGGATGGATCAGATGGATCAATGAATGGATGGATGGATGGGTGGATGGATGGATGGATGGATGGATGGATGGATGGATGGATGGTTGAGTGGATGGGAGGATGGATGGGTAGATGGGTAGATGAATGGATGAAATGATGGGTGGGTCAATGGATGTATGGATTGATCAGATGGATCAATGAATGGATGGATGGAGGATGGACCAATGAATGGATGGATGGATGGGTGGATGGGTGGATAGATGGGTGAAAAAGAAATGGATAAACTTTAACTCGTGAATTGGGTTAAAGTATAAGTAGAAATTCTTTGTACTGTTCTTTCAATTTTCTGTTATCATAAATTCTAGCAACATGAAACATTACATAGCCACTTAAAAGGCTTCTGCTTATTAGACAGAGTAAAATGACTGACACCTGACTACCACTCCTGAACAATGACAGTTGACAGCTTGGATGAATGTTTAAATTCAACTCTGAGGATTTACTCAAATCTCCAGAGGAGCCTATGTGTGCCTACCACACTGCAAGCATTGTGCTAAGCATTCCTATACACTGACACACAAAAGTCCTGGTGGAGCACACTTGTAATTCCTGCTACTCAAAAAAGGCAAAGGCGGAAGTATCAATAATTCAAGACCAGTCTACACAGCAAGGCCTTGTACCAAAATTAAGCCAAAAAGGGTCCAGGTATAGCTCAGTGGTAGAACGATTGCCAAGCATGCATGAGCCCTCAGTTCAAATTCTATTACTTTTAAAATAGTTACTTAACTAATTACTAACTCTATTAAAAGGAGAACTTATTTATAGCCCTATATGGCTAAAGAAAAGATATATGACTTTTCCCATATCACTCAGCAATACCTGAGCCAGGCCATCTGATACCAGTGTAACTAATGTTTGGAATCTGGCAAAAGCATTTCCCAAACGTATTTGTTTCCTCCCATGGTTTAGGAAAACACTGAAAAATACCACCATCTTTCTTCAGGAATTAAAGACACAAGTCACTAACCTTGCATTCCAAATATCTGGCTAGTGCTGGTAGCTCACACATGTAACCCTAGCTACTCAGGAGGCTGGAGATCTGAGGATCATGACTTGAAGCCAACCCAGGAAGAAAAATCCATGAGACTCTTATCTCTAGTTAACCAGCAAAAAGCCTGAAGTAGAGCTATGACTCAACATGGTAAAGTGCTAGTCTCTTTTTAATGAATTTGTATTGTTATTATAAAGGTGATGTACAGAGGGGTTATAGTTACGTAAGTCAGGTAAAGAGCACATTTCTTCTTGGACAAACCCTTTCCCTCACTCTCCCAGTTTTTCCCTCACATCTCTACTCCCAATTGTATAGCTCATTTTCAACATAATGTCTAGTGAATACTGCTAGATAGATAAATGAACAATAGGAAAGAAAAACAACAGCATATTTTTTTAAAAACTCTTGTTTTCATTTCCTGGAGTTCATTTCAATAAATATTATTTTATCTGATCAGGTGCATGTGCACATTGCATCTTTGTGTTCTTCTGCTAAGAGTGCTAGTCTTAAGT